TGTATATCCATCACCTTGTTTGTATGCATCAAATATCATCATTAAGAACTTCTGGTCAAGTTCAGCCATGGTTTCAGAACGAATGGGTTATTGCAGTATGTGGCACTCACATATTGTCTTCTTCATTACCTTTTAGAATGTTATAGAATCAGGTCAATACTATTTCATTTTCAAAGGGTGTTTGTATTAAATGTCAACTTATGAAAAAAAAAATTACAGTTGCCATAGAACAATATTATTTTTATAATTTCCATAAAGTGGGCGAATAATTTTGAACTACACCATTTTTTAGAAAAATCTATAACTATGAATATAATAGATCGGTACACCAGTATTTATTAAGTGTAAACGCTTAATAAATACTAGTGTACTTGTGCTGTCTAATAAGTTCCTAATAGTTTACACTGTAGAGATACCGAATTACTAGTAATGGTAATATTAGCCGTTTCCTTACAAGGAAAGGTTCAACATTCATTGACCGAGCAACCAGTACTACTTTCATTTGAAATTTATACGATCTTTCTCTAAATTTGATTTTTTCATTAAAACAGATTTCTCAAGTTCACTGTTATTGCACTTTCCAGTATTGATGGAGGTTTCCTTCTTAACCTTTTGCTTGAAGTAGTATGGAAATTCAATATCTTGACTATGTTGTCATTTTTTCTTTGAGTTATATGTGCTATCCATTGTGGGTCAGAAGTATATTAGTGAATTGTTAATACATGACTTTTGTTGGTAGAGCAAAACAGATAATCTGGCATGGTTCTAGGACAAAGGATGCCAAAATGACAGTGATGTATCAGTAATATTAAATATAAAGGTTGTTAGAAGGCCTTATATGTCATTATATACAGTTATTATTGGAGAAAGCCTTAATATTTAAAAATGCCAAAGAGTAGAGGAAAAAACAATAGGAAATGAATTGTAGTAAGATAAAATAAGGTTTGTAAAGAAAGTGAGAAGACAAAAATATTTATCATTAGCAAAATTTGCTTAAAAAAAAAAAAAAAATGAAGAGCACTTAAATGGGAGGTAGAAAATTATCAATTTTATAGATAAATCAGTATCATTAGAAACATTTAAAGGCAATATGGACCTCAAAAGGCTCAATAAAAACAAAGAAACACGCGTGTGCGTGTATATACACACACACACACACACACAATTTATTTTAGGATATTAAAACAAAAACATGTTAAAAATCGTAATTATGTTTCAACACTACAAATGTGTCTCCTCGGGTGATGGCAAAATACTAGAGTTTAACATCTCCCAAGGAGAGACATTTGTAGTGTTGAAACATAATTGCAATTGTGTAGCAGTTTTTAACGTGCTTTTGTTTTAATATCCTAAAATAAATAATATTTAGCTTTACTCTGTATTGAGCTCTCTTTTAAATTAAATTTTACGGACAGTGGTGGAATTATACTCCATTTCTTCTCATTTTACCTGGATATATATATATATATATATATATATATATATATATATATATATATATATATGTGTGTGTGTGTTTTGGACAGCAATCCTCTTTTATACAAGTTTTGTTAAAGACAACTGACAAGGCACCCTCAATTAAGCTTTTCATTTAATTTTTTTTGTGTTCGCACAAGTGTTTTCTTTTCTGGACACAAATTTGATTGTTCTCTCACTTTGTGATAGGCAAGAGCACAAAAGATAAAAGCTATCAAAACAAATGAATTGTATATCTATAAGAGTTTTGTACTGAAGATATCTAGATTTTACCCGAGTTCAATAATTACATACCTTTGATAAATGAAAACAGACATGAGCTTCAAAACAAGCAAGATGAGCAGAATGAAAAAAAATATGACCTCTATCCCATAATAGGTGTCATATTTGTAGATTTTACTTTTGATTATTATCAATACTTATCAAAAGTTTGTTTAAATATCATACAACAAAGTTTTAGGGAAATAAAAATAATAAGATGGACACTTGTACTTAGAAAAAGACAGTTCAAATTTCTAAGGCACATAATGAGGAAAGAGGGCTTAGCGAATTTAACATTCACAGGACATACTGAAGGTAAGAGAAAAGCCAAGCATAACCTACCTAACAAGATTGTGTAAATGATTGACAGAACAGGTATTAGAAGAGACAGCAAAAAAAAAAAACAGACTTTACTAAGGGCTACAAAGTGTAGGAAGTTGTGGTGAAACATGATTGCCAATGTCCTGAAGAAACATGGCACATAGAAGTTCAACAATTTTGAGTTGTTAGGTTTAAAATGGACAGTGGTATTTTTTTAAACAATATGAGGTGTCTTAAAGCAAACTTATGTGGTAAGAAAAATAATTATAATTTTCAAAATTGTAACTGCTGTTTATATATATTAGCAAAAGAATATCTCAACAAATGGAAACCATTTCTATAAAATTAACCATATGCATATTGAACAACTTCAAACAGGAAAATTGTCTTCTGAATAACATTAAATGTAAATTAAATAAAGTGTTAGTCAAAATTAATAATTCCAAGCAATAAGTTATTGAACTATTTCCTTTTCATTAAGTTTATTGTTTATTTTCTCAAATGTAACAACTATTTGATGATAAATTTCATTATTAAATGTAAGAACTATTAATGAGACAGAAATTGCTGTGGGAGTGGGGAGAGAGAGTTGGTTGGTAGAATATCAAGCTATTGTTTTTTTTTTATTTTATTTATTTTTACATCAGTTACCAAAATGATCTGTCCATCTCTCAAACACTCTTGCAGTATGCCTATAAACTTCAGTGATGCTTATTCCTGGTGTCATTAGGGGTTTCCTGAGAGAGGGGCTTTAACCATCACCCCTGCTCACCCAGGTGACCCAATCAAGAGTGATCACCTCCTGGGCAGCTTCCTAACATCTGTTGTTTAAATTCCCCAAATTTGGCCTGAGCTTTTTTTTGGTTTGATTCTTTTTGGATTTCAACCAATGAAAATTGGTTTTACCATTTCTGCACTTTCAAAGACAAACATGATGACATGAAAATGTGAAGTTCAACAAGCTCAAAGTTCTTTGTCATTGTTGTGCTCTAATGAAATAGATTATCTTTAAAAAAAAAAATGCGACAAATGTAATTTGATAACAGCTTTAAAATAACAAGGACTAGACTTCACTAAGCTCATTGAAATGCAATAATGCCATCTATAAAGCTTGATTACTTTCTGTACCAAAAAAAGTTGTAAACTAAGAAAGAGATAAATATCAAAGTTCATTTTTAATAATAAACATTTTTAATAAAACAATGTTTTTAATCTTGAACTTTTACAAATGGAGGAGTCTTTATTGCATTAATTATTCTGAATACAATCGTTATAATTTCTATCTAAATTTCTGGAATGAAGGGTTATTATTTACATGCTGTCTATTGTCCACATCTTTGTTGTTGTTATCTCATTTTGGACTGTTGTGACCCCTCTAACCCCCAGCCTTAATTAGGTGTATGTTGATCCAGGTAACCTATAGGAAATTCCGAACTGAACCCTTTATTTAATCTATGTGGGTAGACTGTTCTAATTCCACTGCCCATGTTTAGGGATATTTTTGTCTTATTTTTAGTACTACTTAGTTATTGCACATCTGTTTCACTGAACCCAAGTATACACACTGCCCAATCCAGTGAATTAAAGTGTTGGTTCATGAATTTTGTGGCATAGTAATTGTAAATTCAACCCCTGAGCCAGGCAGTGTGTACTTGAACACAGTAGAAACAGAGTGAGCACTAAATGAGCAGTACTAAAAATAAAAATAGACAAGATATCCCTAGACATAGGCATTGGAATGATAACAGTCTACTCCCATAAATTAACTAAAGCATTCAGTGAAAAATTCCCTGTACATTAAACAGAGTGATATACACCTGATGAAGGCCTGAGAGCACAATGGCTGAAACTAGACCTACCCCATGGAGTCAGGTTGTGACGCAAGGCCAATTTAATGTGGAGAACCCAAGCATGTACACTCAAGCTAAGGACAAAAATTCCAGCTTCCACCAGTAGATTTTATTTTATTTTTTTTCACTGATCTTGGAGGAAGGGAAAAACTTGAGTAAAGATAATGAGAGGACAGTTAAAATTAGCAACTTAAACATGAACCTATTAAAAGAAAAAACAAAAAAACTGGACTTCACCTATTGGATACTTTTATATATCATGCAGCAAATGAGGAAGTTCTAAGGGAAATAGGAACTAGAAAGAAAACTTATAACAATCAGAAAGAGACAGCTGAAATTTCAGCGGGGACAAACAATCATAGAACAAATTGAAAGCAAAGGAAAACTATGCTTGGAAAATTTGTGCAAATGAACAGAGAAACAAGTATCACAAAGAGAAAGAGGAATCAAAAGAAAAAATATTGGACAGGAAGCTGTGGAGGATCATGATCATTCACATCCTGAAGGGACATGAAGGTTGTAATGATAATGGCATATTGTATGTGTACACACAAACAGAAGTATTAATTTTGTGTGTTCAGATATGTTGTGGAGTAAATAGTACATCCCTAATGACTATATGAACTAGTCCATAAGTATAAAGAGCTCCAAGTCAGAGATAAGAAAGAAGAAGCTGTTTGGATTCAGTCTTCAGACTAATTAATACAGGCATCACAGAAAGTTTCCAAAGCATTACTTATAAGTGCTATGGAGCGCATTACAACAGTGGCAACAAGGCTTTTGAAACTCAGGTGATTTATAACCATTGTGACGAAGATTCAGGAACTCATACGAGTTGTAACTGGAGTTACAAGGATTTTGGAAACTCATACTGGGTGAGCAAATTGGAAGAAGGGCAGCATCAGCAGTATGCAGTTATCACTGACATTACAAATATTAAGTTTGAAATTGTGCTGTGCTAAATTAAAAAAAAAAAAAAGTATAAGTATTTAAGAAGTAAGGGATTGATTTGATACTGTATTTATATAATGAACAGGACCTCCATGGTATGAACAAATAATACTAAAGTTAAAAGCATTGTTAAATACTTACATCTGATGCACTTTTGTAGGTGACTTTTTTCAGATAGACATTATAAATGGCATCTTCCTCTCTTTCTTCACTCCAAAATTTTGATACATCCTCCTGAAAAATAAAGATAATATTTTTAAAATATCTACCTTGCATGTTGAACACAATAATAGTCCTTAAACATATTTAATTCTATAATTGCATACAAATTCTTAGACATAAAAACATGCTGAAGGCAGTTTGTAGATAGCTAAATGAGGAAAAAATAATTCTTACTTTAATGAAAAAATTTCCAGCATTTTTAACAAAATTTTCTGTTCATATAAATTCATAGCATCATTATTCAGGCATCAAAGTATTTTGCCTGGCTTTGATCAAATGATTTTTATGATTTTTTTTCTTATTTCCTCAGTTTGCTGGAACAGCTGATGATACAAGGAGCATTAAATGGATCAACACAAATGATAGTCTACAGGTGACAAATTTGAAGAATATAATGCATGATGGAGACTATCTAAGCCATAGCTTAAACATGAGGATGAGTATTATGCAATTGACTTCTTTACCCAGAGAAAAAAAAGGGGGAGAGTTTTTTGCTTCTACTGCATCATTCAAAGAAACCAGTTGATTCCTACAGTACTGCATAGTAACTTATTTAGGTTTCTATAATTTATAAGATAGAATTCATTTTGGATTTCACCAAATACAGAGTACTTTTTCTCCCCAGTAGAATCCATTTAGACTAAGTTATTGAATACTATACATGGCCTCATTCCAATTTTCTTCATTTTGGATTCTCACAATAAATTAATTTTTCATTTGTAATGACCATCTTGTTGAAAAATGGCCATTTTTTTTTCTCCTGTAAAAAAAAAAAAAAAAAAAAAAAATGTATGATGATTCATGTGGGTGGAACCTAATTTCCTATTTATGAATTTTGTAAATAATGTTGATCAATTGTACAAAGAGCTGAGTAAATCTTAAAAGACACTTCAAAGATTTCCATAGCATCATGCAAAAGAGGTTATTAGGAACATTTGTATCAACCTAATATATCCAAGGAAATGAGAGCACTTATTATTTTACTGGGTGTTACCCTACTTTAGTAAAAGCTGTCTGCGATGATAATAGCAGGCTATGTCAAAGGCCAGAGGTCAATCACAGGCTGACTTCTGTCCAGATGGTCTTTCTTAAGATTATTATCACTTGACATTTTCATAGCAACTGTTTCTATGTGGCTACAAACTATGAAATTAGTCTTTTAAAGAGAGATTTTAAACCCCAGCACAAACAAAAATGCAATCAAATGAAACAATAGGATCACAGATTAAAACCCACAAAAAAAGGAACACTCAGGTCAAGGGTTGTCAAGAGCATTACATAACTTTTTACTACATGGAGAGAGTTTGTGAAAAAGCATCAAAATCATTGACTCAGGTCAATATAATATCAATTTTCCCATAATGGTGTTTGAAAGCCAATGGTGCTCTGAAGACATTGGACAGTTTATGTTCAAATTCTCTCTGGAAGCCAAAAAAATGGTCCAAGCTGTAGTAAAAGTAAATAAAAAATCTTAAAAACCTTTCATTGGTTTTTAATCAAACTTACATAAATGAAAATTTGCTCCCTAAATACATTTCATTTTCATATATGTTAATAAGGAGAAAAAATTGCATGTTTAATTGTGAATATATATATATATATATAATCTTTTGAATTGTAAGAATAATCCATTTTTTTTGTTTACAAGTGAATATGGCATCATTTCACCCACAATCAAGGTGATAATGCCACTAAGACATACTTAAAAGAAAATGAGAAGACTTTAGCTACCATCCATTACACCACACCGATATACCAGGAAGAAGGTTATATAAATAATCCTATCATTTTTTATGGGTACTATGCTTGTATTAAAATAAACCCAATGCTTATTAAAATGTGAATTGCTTTAACTCTTGAGGTAAGTTTTAACAGTGATCAAAACAGATAATATTAATTTGTTTTGCAAATGGTTGAAAATAAAGGCTTTTTTGCTTAAACACCGCATAATCTTTAAAGCACTTCATAAGCACTTAGTAATAATATATTAAAAGAATTACATAATGAAAAAAAAAATTATGTAAATATTCAACAGCTTTTATTCATTAAAACAATTCCTCAGTGAAAGTGTTTTACTATTACTTAGAAGTAATAAAACATTGCAAATTTACAAGAATACTTATTTCTATATCAAAGTTAAATATATCTTCCACTACATATTCATCTTTTTGTAAAAGATGAACAATATTTCATAGCTCTGACAATTGAATTTGGTATGTATAATTCTTATTTTGTATTTGTTTTGATGTAATTAACTGGATTTTAAGTGGTATATTGTTATTCTTAATGAGTTGATCTAAAATTAGAAAATCAGATTCAACCAAAGGCTTTCAAATATTTTTTTATTTTTGGCTTGTCTCTCTGAATACAATTTATTTTATATGCCTTGTCAAGTCATAAGGCATGAAAAAATATTTTGAAATCTATTCAAAGAAATATATGTCTATATTTCTGAGATGAGGTATTATGTACATTATTTACATTATTCGGACTATTGTCCTCATCTTTGTCGCCATATTTATTACAACGTTTCGGCTGTTGTATGCTCCGTCCTTCTTCAGGTGGTTGGAATGTCGAGCTGAACCTTTTATTTCACTCACTGGGGTAGACTGTTCTAGTTCCATGTGCCATATTTAATGGATGTCAGTTATCAGTTATCTCCTGTTAATTTCCCTCTGAAAGTTCTCCACTGCCTTAACCGGCTATTGAACTCACACTCTTTGGGTCCTGTCACTGGATCTAACCAACACCTTTATCCACTGTGCCATTATGTAAATATACACATCTAGTCATGCCTGTGTTTTAATCAATGAAAAAATAAATAAAAACAAAAAAAGCAACACGCAACACACACAAGATTTAGATATAATATCTAGTTTCGACTGTCTCCTTTAAATTGTCTTTTTGAGTATTTTTTGTAGATTGATTTACAAAAAGTAGTAGCAAAAAACTGTACTACATTTGGTCGGTATGGGCCTCTTCAAATTTTTTGTAGCATCATATATCATTACAATTTTGCTTGGCTCTCCTTTAGTCAGCACGACCATTATGTTCTCCAATACCTCATAAATAATGGATTATTCCATTTTGAATGCATAGAAAAACAGAAAAGACATATAGACACTACTTGGTTTTAGTGAGAAAATGAAAGAAAGAAGGGAACATAGAAGTGTTTAATGTCCGTTTCAGTGAAATGGAAAAGTTATCAATTTCAAATCTTTTCATTTGTACCCCCTTACTTAAAATAATGAGCAGCATTCATATTTTCAATTGTTATTGCAATATTTTGTTAAAGTTGTTAAGTTCAAATATTTAATGATGTGATGGAGGAATTTCTACAAATATTTTATTGTTGAAAATCTCACTATAACTGAAGAATTATGTTACTTCATTAATGTTTTTATCAACTAAATCATATATGTAGAGGAAGGAACAAAATACAACAAATGCTGGTTACAATTCTACATTGAGAAATGCTGCTGATGCAAGGCTGCTTAACTTTAGATTTAATTTTTTTGTGTCCACTGTATTGTTATTTTTTCTATTTTGTCATCCAACTACCCCTCCATAGCAGAAAAGAAAAAAAATAACTGTCACAATTAGTCATCCTGGACGGGTTGATTTTAAAAAAATCTCACTTGTGTTTATCAATCTTTTTATTTCCATAATAAAAATAAAACTACTGATGATATTATTTTATAATGTTATAATTCTGCTTGTCACTTTCTTAGTTCCATAGCATGTACAGTTACGTTATACCCTGCCAATACCTCATAAGTAATGAACTAATCCATTTTTATCACATGGAAAAAAAAAAGGAAAAGACTTATCAGAGACATTACTTAGTTTCAATGAGTGTTATATACTGTACCTATGAACACTTATGGGAATGTCCAAATCCTCATAAATATGTTGGACACTGTTGTAAGTGGGGTAATATGCTGTCTAAGTAGTCCACCACTAGCAGTGGTTTACCTACTTCATGCTACTGGCAAATATTGTATTTTGTTGATGTTATAAAGATTACCATTTCATTTCCAACCTCCGTTTTGGTTATTCCTCATTCAGTAACCCTTTCTAGGTTACAACAGTGAGAAAATGAAAGAAAGAATGGGAAGGTAGAAGAAGCATAAAACTCATTTATTTAACATCTGGAAAAAAAATTGTCAATTTCAAATCTTTTTATTTGTACTGCTTACTTCTTAAAATAATACACAGCATTCATATTTATAATTGTTAAAGTTGTTAAGCTCAAATATTTAACAATGCGATTGGGGAATTTCTATGAATATTTTATTGTCATAGAACTAGCCATGAGCATATCCAAATATTAATTTATGAAGATTCACCAGAAAATTCAAATAGGAAAACTGTGAAATTTTCAGTGGTATTTCTAGTTATTGTGTTGCTAATGTTAGCACATGTTTTTGCTGGTCCATTCTCCAACCTTCTTGAGGTGTACATTTCATAACAGTGGCAATAACACAAAATTGTAGAGGCTTGAACAAATTAACTGATGAATTATATATGGATTTTCATAAATTTATCCAATGAGACATCAATCATCTTAATAAAAGATTTAAATAAATAGAATAGAATATATATCTTTAATCATAAGACCATGAAGAAAATAGCATTGGGATTTTGTCACACAACAATATTCCTCCCCCACCATCAAAAACAATCATTATATAGAGTTTACTCTTGAATTTGCTTTTTCCAGTTTTATTTAATATTGTTCTTTAAGTTACCAATTGTTGTAGCATACCTATGGATGATAATAGGCATGTTCCCATTCACAGATACAGTAGTAAATACTGTATGTTGGTCTGCAGTTAGAGATTTGTCTCTGGCTGTGCTGGTCAAACTCTCTGCCTCCGGGCAGAGAGTTTGACCAACACAGCCAGAGACGAATCTCCGTTTTATATGAGGTCTATGGGGAATTTTTGGCTGAGCATATGGGCTCAGATACCTCACATTAAATTCGGCCTTGTGCCACATCTGACCACGTG